GATTGATTTGGATTTCTTTTTCTATTACTTTCTATCAACCAATAGGAATGACCTATAGTCTATAATGAACATAATAGCAAATGCTAAATAGATCTTCTCTCGGTGGTGTTTTTGATCCATTGTGCAAGAAAAAAACGGAATGTCTAAACCATGAAACATGACCATTGTCTCTTTGTTGGTAACTTTGGAATGAACCACAGCCCTATCCGGCGTGCACGCCAGATAATTGCCGCATAGCAATTTGTATTCCTTCGTATGGAGACCAGCCCATAGTGTATTGATATGAGATTTCATCGGAGAATATCAGACACCAATCCCATCCAAATGATTGAATATCCACGAGTAGGGGAGGTCAGAGAATCCATAGTTATGATTCACAGGGTTCAGGTCCAAAGGCGTACTATAGTTTTTTGCGTAATCTTCCTTTTTTATGCAAGAAGACTTAGGAGTCGCTTCACTTTCGCTAACCCACTAGATAACTACTCTTTACTCCTATTTCCGCAATTTCATTAGGATATAATTTACCAGGTCTGGGCAGAATTAACCTCTTTGGACAAACGTGTCTAATTAGAATTCATAATTCCATTTATGATGAAACATCCTTACACGATTCCCCTTAATGACATTTTTCTTTAACAAATAGAAACTTCAGTAACAAATAATCCGACACCAATTATCCCTCACTTCAATTCCTATCAGACTAATGAATCACGTGTCAGTTGTCGGGTGTGGGCTTCTTGCATGAAAAAAAAAGTTAAAAGAAGAGCCCCCTTATCGGCATTTCGACAGCCTAACGGATATTGACTCTGTTACGCCGCTTTACCATGGCGTTACTTGCTGACCACTAGAGTTAAACAGGCTCCGGCTTCGATCTTCAGAGGTATGAGGACGCTTAAATACGCAGAAACTGGAGTGCCAATCCCGATGTACTAGAGGTAACATCCTCCATTTCGTCTACGCACCCGATTGATACGATTATTTAATAGATGGGCCATGGAGAATACGTAATGTAACAGTGCAAGATATATATATAATGATTCGCCGCGATTGAACGACTCATAGTCAGCGAGATCGAAAACAATTGAGTCGATATACTCTCCAGGTAAATAGAGTCAAGTCTAAAAACAAATAGATCGTGCAATACACTTGTTGACTCGCCCGGATTGGGACTATACTCCTTATACTTATCTGCTTTCCCATCAGGTTGGACTTTATACAGTCGTGTTTTTAATTACCCGGCTGTTAGAGACTGGTGTTTAACACGGAGGGATAGAATGAGATGAATAGAAATGAACGATTTTAACCGCCTCGCTCCTTTCGACCAAACTGAGAGTCAGAATTCCCGAAACAGGCTTATGCTGATCTTTCTGTTCCTTTCTTTCGCGGGAATACTAAATCCTTTTTATTCTTTTTTTTTAATTTGTCGACGATTGAAAACAAATTTCAGAAATGCTAAATGATAAATCACAAAACATATCGTATTGGCAATTCTAGATAAAGACCGAATAAATCGCCTTATTTTAGTTGATCCAGAATTCATAATCATCATTCAGTTATCCAGTGACAATTTCTAAAAAAAGCCTGTTCTCATCCACTGTCCACATGATCAATCCGTCGGAGGAGTCTATAACATGACGGCGGCATAGTATGTCCCGACCCAGGCATAGTGTTCTCAGGCACATCCTCTCTTGTTTACAAGGATCGCAGCGAGGCCGCATTCCCGAACTTCCCTGAGGTAGGGTACTACGGAGAAGGCAGTCTTAACATCACCGGAATTAGTACACAAAAGTTGAAATCGATTCTTCCTGTAGTGCCTGCGGTCGAGCGGATATGCCCGAGCGGTTGGGGGCCGAGTGGCGGATGTGTGGAATGGGACGCGACGAGTAGAATCGTGCATCTGGCATTAGAGGCTGGCTACGCTGGTTCGAAATCCAGCTGCGCCCGAAGGGAATGGGTTCTCCGTAGTTCCACCATCCTTGAACATGGCATTAACACCCAGTCATTGTTTGCTCCAGAAATGATTGACTCTGCCTCTGAAAATACGTTCAAGAATCAAAATATTCGAGGGAAACATTTCCTTCTTTCCGTGACCGCACGATAATGTTTTTTTCCGTTACGATTACCAGTTATCCCTATTTGCTACAAATTCGCGGGATGTTGGTAGAATCTCGATTGGCAGGCTAGGCGGGTATCCAGGGGTTATGTCAAATCTAGAAAAAGTCTTAGGGAAAACGATATAACAAACAGAAAGCAAGACTCCTTCTTCGTCTTTCATATGATTCATGATTTCAATTATCATGCAAAGACGAGGATACGTGATTAACGTACACTGTAATCCTACGGTGTCACTCAGCACTCGAACAGGCATATCTATAAGTATGGATAAGTTCAATACATAACTATGAGTCCACGTCCTCTTCGTTCACTAGCAGCACGAATGGTTCGAATCTATAAATGAGAAAAATAGCGTTTGAATGAAACCGTAAGAAATCGTATGCTG